ATGTTAAAATGAAAATGTATGAGACTGTAACATAATACAAATAACATTTCCACTAATTAAATAAATTAAAAGGGAAGACCTACAAGACTTATCTTGTTGAAGAGTTTGTTTACCTTCTCAAGCCAAAGCTTATGGACTGAGGACAGATAGAGTTCAGAGTAATAACAGGCAATGAGGGAAGTGGGTTGAGGTGTGTGTATGTATATATATATCTATATCTTTGTACCTGAAATATCCATTACCTGCACCTGCGGAGCTCTCCCTTAATAATCATTGTTTCAGTGTGTTTTCAGAGGGGTCAGTATAGTGGACTTGACTTACAAAGTTTTAGCAATTCAAGACCATTTTCTGAATATGAGGACCATTGTGTACACTGTCATGACTATGCAGGTGTTTGAAGGTTAATATCTGTGGACTCCATGATGCAGTTTCTTGATAAATAATGAAATAAACATGTCCCATGATAACATTTCGACAGGGCTTACTTTTTGTGGTAGATGTGATATGACAGTAATGTTCCTGATAATTACATCTGCAGAGAGATTATGTGTTAGTCAAAATTTTATAAAGTACATCTTTGTCTCAGTATTCATCTAACTGTATGGTGGCATGTGAAGTTCCAGGCACTCTGATTATTGTTATTTGCCAATCATTCATAATAATAATTGGATTTTTTGTACTGTATGATAGGTCTTAGAATATAAACATACAAATGTAATATACATTATAAACAATGAAACTTGATCACTGAGACAAACATTTAAAAAATTTCTTTGTGTGTAAGAGGTTAAATACTGATGTAATTTATATTTGTTTCCTCAAGACTGTTCTCCATTATTATGGAGAATACTATTTTCTGCACTTATGTTAGTTTGCATTATAGATATTTGAACTGTATTTGTATTCTTGGTGTTATTTTGTGCTAGTGTGTAACTTACAGACCTAGGAATTCTGTGTTCATGTACATGTGGTGGTGGTGTGTTTGCAGGCTGCGAGTGAATATTTGTATCGGTTTCCACTAAAAATCCCTACTGTAACTGTTAATTGAAAATCATGAATTTGGAATACAGTAGAAATACAATTCATTTTGTGTTACAGTTTCAGAATTTCCATGGGAAATTAACTTTAAGACTTTCTTAAAGAATTATGTGATTGTGTCACATATTGACATTCCCTAAAATCCACACTTGTGTTCAGTGGGAAGTTTCTGTAGAAATTTTGTTACATGCTGTGGGACTCCAGAGTACACTGCCTTTTCTGTGTGGTTTAGCAAAGACAGCTGTATGATTGTTAGCCAATACAAACATTTTGTTAGGAGTTTTGGTGTGCTGTTTGTTGTCCCCTCAGTACACAAACTGTAAGACAGTCTTCATTTGTTCAAGGTCTCTCTTGTTTCCTCATACCATTTTGATTACAAATGTAGTTTCAGGGCAGTTGTTTCAGTTTGTAAAAACTAAAGTTTGCTATAGTGAAATGTGATATGTAGATGGAAGAAAGGCATGCTTTTGTGTAATTTATTATTACAGGTTTTAATAATGAAGGAAACAGTCAAATCTTCTGTCTTTATTTTATTACATATGTTACAAATTTCAACTGTTATGCTATATTTTGTTTTAATTAAAAATCCAAGACTTTGAGATTCCTCACACCTATAAGTGACTTGCAAGTACTTGGATTTCTAGTTAACAAAGATTGTCTTTGTCTTGCTGCTGTGTACCAATTGCAGAAAGATACTTCTTCATCCCAGGACTGGTTCAATAACTGCAATGCAATGTAGCAACTTAAGGAACTAATACACCCACACCATACATAGTCAGGAAAGTGAACTTTGTAACTAGAAGTCTGTCTGGTTAAATTAGCTTGATCTTATTTCTGTGAAACGCAAGCAGATCTTTCTATATTCATTTTCTTTATAGTTTTTCAACATTGTGCACAGTGTATGAAGGGATCATGTAGTGGGTATGTCATATATGTATATCCATATCCATTTTTTACCTCTCAAACCACAGTAGTTTTTGAGGAAATTTGGTTATGGAAGGTCTCCATTAATCACAGTTAAGCAAAATTCATTTTGTCAGTTGCATTCCATACATTGCTTGAAGTCAGGTTCACTATTATCAGATTTCTCAAAATATGACAGCCAACAAAAATAATAGGAACAACATGACATATCTGAAGGGTGTAACAAAGACTTTAATGTTCTCGGCAGAGAACCAAATGACTTTATTGCTTCTATCTGTTTCATAGCAACAGATAATGTGAAAATATTTCAAGCAGGAGTGATTTTATAATGCAGGAATCCTATGTGAAGAAGTGGGAAACTATTTTTACAGTACACATCAAAAATACAAAAAAAAAATGCACGCCATGTCATAGTTGTCCTTAGGGTTCCAAGCACTATACGTTATGACTGGCAAGCGCTGACGTGACATGGCGCATACTGGTATAAGCCGACTATATAACTGTATTAAACGTACATTCACGGAAAATCTCTTTTGGAATTTCGTTTCCATTATCTCGTGTGGATTATTATGGGACCACATATGCACATTTCGTAAATTATTTACACCGTCCAGGGTGAAATACGCCTCATCACTGAATAAAATGACGCTTAACAGTTCGGGATGAGCTTTTATCCAGTGGCACAAATCCATACGCTGTGCATGGTCGCCTGGTTCCAGATGTTGTACCCTTTGATCATGGTAGGGTTACAACTCTTCAGCACGTAAAGTTCGCCACACCTGCATACGTGATACGCCGATGCGAGAGGCCATTCTACGGGTGGACAGACACGGACTTTTCTGAACCATCTCAAGAATGTTCTCTCGTGTGTTTATCATTCATACATCCTCCCTTTCAGAGTGCACAGAAACACTCGGAAGAGAACCAGTATCACGCAATGTATGATGAATCCGCGTAAATACACTTCGAGATGAAATCCTTCAATTGGGAAAACGCCTTTGG